TGTGTGTGGCCACCATTGAGGAAAGTGTCTGGAGATTGTATAGTGAGGAGCTATTACTCGTGAAGGATCCAGGTGTGATCCGAAAGGCGTATTGGCCCATTGGGTCATGTGAAGGAGGTGAGGGAGCATTTTAGCCATTGAAGGATTTATATCGGCTTGTTTGCACATGCACCGCACCATCTGCATGTCCTGAAGTTGTGAAGCACTTTTTTGGGGGAATTTTTTTTGCTATGTTTTTCACCTTATTGGACGTTTATTTCATATAATTGATATTTTCACTATTTTGTATTTTTATTAAGTTTTTATATGTTTAGTGTTGTGAACTGTACAGTTTATGTGCTTATTTGTTTTTTTGGGGTTTAAGCACTTGTCGCTTTGTTTATATGATTATCCCGTGTTTGGGATTTACTGTGTGTAGACACACTTGGTGTATGTTTTCCATCCCAATTTTTGGGATTGGGGGGTTTTTTATTCACCATACATTGGTTCCAAATTAGGACCAAGTTGATTGATTCACAATATTCACCATTTATGTGGCACTTATCATTATGCTTCAGATTCCTGTAGGATCTCATCACAAATTTTTATTCTATTAATTTTATCATTTTTAATTTATAATTATATAGTTGTTTTTATGTTTATGATTTTTTTTTTTTTAGCTCTGCACCAATATATTTAAATATTTAGTGTTTATACACTTATAGGTATAGGATTGGGGTGCTAGCAGCTTCACAAAATTTACAGGCCCATATTAAGCGCAGGGTGAACTACCGTTTTAATGTGTTATGGAAACACTTCCATTTTGCTGTTATTTAGACTAATTTTCATTAATTGGCATGGACTACAGACACGCCTATTATGTTTTTCTATCCACTTACTTGTCCATGTTATTATTATTTTCTCATGTTTTGTATTGTTAAAATTGATGCAAAATATAATAAAATCAAATTTTCCTTTAAAACCTTTATCCCAAAAGGAAAAAAAAAAAAAAAACTGTTTGCTGTAACTGATAATAAAATGCGAGCTAGATTGTGGCTTCAATTTGTCGCGGTTTTTAAATCTGCTAATACGTTTAACACCCTCCCCCCCCGCCAGAATGACAATGTTTCTGTCTGCTGTGCCTCCTGTGCTCATTCTTACTAATACAGGAGGTATGTTTAGGGCCGCAGATAATGGGGTAGCTCTGGTCCAGGCCTCATAATTCCATCGGGAGGGGACTAGCCAGCTGACAAGTGGCTCTCTCCTCCTGTCATTCTGCTACATTTGCAGCTAGGCTCCACTCACTTCCACAGCCTCCTGTTATTCTCTCTCAGAATGGGCTAGTGCTCTGAAAGTGAGCTACGCTGTCCACTCTGCTCCCTCAGTCTAACTTTCACATCGCCTTATAGTTACCCCTGATTGTAACTTTGTTTCTCAGTCCCCCTTCCCTCATCCCCCTTCTTACTTTTTCTCTCATATATCCCCCCCCCCCCAATCATGCTCCGATCTTCCTCCTTTCTCAGTCCTGGTGATTGTGCCTCGGTCAGTCTTCCATCGCTCCCTCTCTCACTGTTTTCCCTGCAGATCCAACTCTCCAGGCCACATATTCTTCTCTGCTGTCTCCCACATCCTTTTGTCTCCTGAAACAGTAACAGCTGATCAGCTACATTCCCTTCTGTGGCCGCCTTTTATCTTCTCCCAGCCTGGCTTAGTATTGTTTGTGTAGCAGGGCTTCCCACTCCTCTCCCCCAGGCTGCTCCCCTTCAGATCACCCTCCTTGCTACAAACTTTTCATTGTCTATCCAATGCAACTTTTCTACTACTGCTTTTTCTGACCCCTGTGCTGTCACCACCCATAGCCCTCTTCATATCCATGCATCATTGTTCAACTCCTTCTGTCCAACAGTTTAATAACCAATCTGTTTAACCACTTGAGCTCCAGAGGATTTACCCCCCTTAATGACCAGGCCTCTTTTTGCTACTCGGCGCTGCACTAATTCAACTGATAATTGTGCGGTCATGCAATGCTGCACCCAAACGAAATTTACGTCCTTCTTTTTCACACAAATAGAGCTTTCTTTCGGTGTAATTTGATCACCTGTGCACTGTTTGTTTTTCACGCTATAAACAAAAAAAGGCCAAAAATTTTGAAGAAAAAACAATAATATTTTTTACTTTCAGCTATAAAAAATATATAGTAAACTCAAAGTTGGGTATAAATTTAGGCCAAAATGTATTCTGCTACATGTTTTTGGTAAAAAAAATCCCAATAAGTGTATATTGATTGCTTTGTGTGGAAGTTATAGCGTCTACAAACTATGGTATAAATCCTGCAATTTACGCCATTTTTCTGCTATACAGCGCTGCGCTAGTTTAACGGACAATTGCGCGGTCATGCAATATGGTACATAAATGAAATTTACATCCTTTTTTTTCCCCACAAATTGAGCTTTCTTTTGGTGGTCATTGATTGCCTGTGCGGTTTTTATTTTGTGTGCTATAAAAAAAAAGGCTGACAATTTTGAGGAAAAAAAACAATATTTTGGACTTTTTGCTATAAAACATGTCCAGTAAAAAAAAAAAATGCAAAAATCAAATTTAGTCATAAATTTCTGCCAAAGTGCATTCTGCGACGTGTCTTTTCTAAAAAAAAAAAACCCAATACGTGTAAATTAATTGGTTTACGTGAAAGTTATAGCGTTTACAAATGGCGGGAAAGATACTGGGATTTTTAGGTTTTTTTTTATACTAATAATGGCGGCGATCAGCGAATTATGGCGGCGATCAGGGACTTATGGCAGCGACCAGCGACTTATGGCGGGACTGCAGCGGACATTCTGACATTGGGGGGTACTGACTTGGGGTCACTGACATCCCCAAAAACACTAATACAGTGATCAGTGCAAAAAAAACCCACTGACACTGTACTAATGGCGATGGGGAGGAAGGGGTTAACTTTATTTTGCAGGGAAGGGTTATAGGAGTGAGGGGAGTGTTTTACTAGGGGGTGGGGGTGTGTACTGGGCGGGACAAGGCTGATCGAGAAAGTGAAACTGTTCTTTCTTGATCAGCTCATCCTCGAGCTGACAGGGAAGTGACAGACAGCACAGCTACTGCAGCTGTGCTGTCTGTCACTGTTTGCCGCCGATCGCCGGTACATAGCCGGTAAGGACCGGCTGTGACCCGGCGACTCACATCTGCGGCGGTGATCGGCGGGACTGATAGGGCGGCAGCGTCCCCTAGCTGTTTACAAAACACACTTTTTAAAACGTGGTTTTGCCTGCCAGTGCCGCCCTGCCGCCGTATATCTACAGTGGCAGGGCGGCAAGTGGTTAAAGTGTTCCATTTTCTATCACGTACAGCTCAGATCTAGCATAAATAGATTCCTAAGGTCTCATGGAGGGCTGTGTTCACCTGCAATGGTCTTTCATGCATCCCTGTACAGACAGTTCCATTGATGTCAAATGGAACACAGTTGTTGCACGCACTCAGATGCTGCTCCCAACGTGACATCTGCGCAGGTACCAGTGTGGGTGCACAGTCCTGAATGTACCCAAGGTACATCTGGGGTCATGTACTCACACCTGTATGGATATCAGATTGGCGGCAGTATTTGTCTGCGAGTGGGTACTGTGTTCCATGTGACATCAATGGAACTGTCTGCAAGGGGATGCACAAAACTTCTGTGTTTACCATTGAAGGTGAACACAATACTCCATGAGTGTACGCTTTTCTATATCCCATGTGAACAAGACATAATGAAGTCTCACCACTTGTCCAATTGCATCCTCAACTCCAGATCAGTCACGTTCTCTTCACCCTATAAATCTCTGAAACTGATCACCCTGTGGTTCCCTCTGCATCATAGACAGCTTCTAGGCCTCTCATCCCTGCCAGTTTTAGAGTGCTGCAGGGGGAGCCACAAGGGAATAGTTACCAGTATTTGCCCCTCTACCACATAGCTCACCCTCCACGTCCAGGTTCTGACAGCTCCCCCTCATTCCCACAGCTCCAATGCCGTGTTTAAAAAAAAATTTGTAAAAAAAAAATTAAAGGCTCATTCATATAGGTGCTCTGGTGCGTACCGCATGAATAAGCAGGTTGTTCATACAGCGGGAGCTGCCTGTTACTCTGTAGGGACGCAGCATCTGTACAAACACAGCTGCAGGTTTTGTGTGTGTAGCTGTAGGTGAGCTCACAATGTCCACTGTCTGTGTTCAGGGCTGTACACCTACATCCACACACCTGTCAAATTTAGACCTGTGGCTGTGTTCATACAGCTGTTGTATCCCCATATCACAACATAGGGTGTCCGCACTCAGCTCCAGCCATATAAACAAACTGCTGATCCACACTGTACAGGCCACAGCACCCATGTTAATGAGCCCCAAGACCTCATTCACATGGAACTTTATTTATTACCGCAATACAGTTTTTACCTTTTAGATTTACCAGGAAATTTGTAAGTTTGTAATGATCTTAGTGTATTTTACCCTGGTGGGGGGGGGGGGGGGTGGGGATCCCCTGTCAGGTGATTTCTAACAGCAGCCTTAGGTATGTTACTGGCCAGATCAAGTGAAGACCAAGGGAAAGGTCCAAATAAAAGAAAACTGATGCAGTCACCACATCTAATGATTGGTAAGCTGCAATATAATACATGTTTGGTTTTGGGTTTAATGCCACTTTAACCGCTCCCGCCTGCCATATAAGGAGATGACAGGCGCAAGGCGGGTCTCTCGTTCTGGAAGCGTCATATGATGTCCTCCCACTTTAACCACGCGTGAGCAGCTCTGGGGGTGCACAGCGCGGCGATCGGTGTGTGCGCTGTGTCCCTCGGACACAGCGGATCACCGATCAACGGAAAGAGCCGAAGATGTCGGCTCGGTCATGTGTTCAGCTGTGTCCAATCACAGCTGATCGCATGTAAATAAGGAAATGCCGGTTATCGGCATTTCTCTCCTCACGAGCTGTCACGCTGACAGCTCGAGAGGAGAGCAGAGCCGGCATCCCTCAGAGGGGAAATGTACACTGATCATCAGGGCACTGATGATCAGTGTGCCCTGATGATCAGTGTAGTCCCAGCAGTGCCACCTGTCAGTATCCATCAATGCCAGCTGTCAGTGCTCATCAATGCCACCTGCCAATGCCCATCAGTGACACATCAATGCCACATATCAGTGCCTACCAGTGCACATCAATGCCACATCAGTGCCCATGTGAGCTGTCTTTCAGTGCCACCTATCAATGCCAGTCAGTGCCACCTATCAATGCCAGTCAGTGCCACCTAGCAGTGCTGTCTATCACTGCCAGTCAGGGCTGCCTATCAGTGCCAGTCAGTGTCGCCTATCAGTGCGCATCAGTGCAATCTATCAGTGCCCGTCAGTGCTGCCTATCAGTGCACCTAACAGTGCCGGTCAGTGCCACCTAACAGTGCAAGTCAGTGCCGCCTATCAGTGCCAGTCAGTGTCACCTATCAGAGCCACCTATCAGTGCCGCCTATTAGTGTGATATGAGTGCTGCCTTTCAGTGCCCATCAGTGATGCCTGTCAATGCCCATCAGTGCCACCTATCAGTGCCTCCTCATCAGTGCTACCTATCAGTGCCCATCAGTGCAGCCTATCAGTGCCCATCACTGCAGCCTCATTAGCGCATATCAGTGAAGGAGAAAAATCACTTATTTACAAAATGTTATAACAAAAACATAAATGTTATTTTTTCTAAATTTCCAGTTGTTTTTGGTTTGTTTAGCAAAAAATAAAAAACCCAGAGGTGATTAAATACTACCAAAATAAATCTCTATCTGTCTCAAAAAAAAAATTCATATGGGAAGGGTGTTGCATGACCGCGTAATTGACATTCAAAGTGTAACAGTGCTGAAAGCTGAAAATTGGCCTGGGCAGGAAAGTGGTATAAGTGCCCTGTAGGCAAGGGGTTAAATAAAGCTCAGATAATAGTGACAAAACATTTGTTTCCTAGAGAGTTTTATCAGCTCACATATTGTATCACTTGTTACCTGGAGTTCTGCTCCTGCACAAGAAATGGGGAATTCTTCAATGTTCCATTTCTTAGTGAGCTGTCTGTTATTGGTGGCTCTGGGTTACCGCCCTCTGCGGTCCTCTCGTACCACTCGGCGCCCAGCGCTTGGTTACCTGCAAACTGAATAATTTCCTTCAGTCAGTTTCCATCGCCTCCCGGGGGAATTTTGTATTTTAGGCAAATAATGTGAAGAAGATGATTCAATTATTTTTTGCTTAGCCAAACCTGGATCACTTTAATTAAACTCAGAGTATATTAACATTTCATTTACTTTCCATCCAGAATTATTCGGAGTATATTAACTCTGCTGTGTGAGAATGAAGAATGGAGGTGAGCAGACCTGGCGGGTAATAAAGATCCCCCTTCCCCCACTGCTTATCGCTTTGTGGCGGAGCTGACACGGTGGAACAGGTCAGTTGAATGAAAAGGATCCGCTGTGCTTTAATTAAATTTGCCTTGTCAGAGCGACGGTTTCATTACTGTTGTGTTCTACCGTCATTAGTTCCTTAAACGAGGCTGAAACAAAGAGAACCTGTCTCTGGAGCCCCGAAGCCAGAGAGCCCCCAGGATCAGCGCCACTTTATCACTCTGACGAGAGCACAAAATGTGCACCAACCTGGCCCTGATTAACGAAGATGTAACCCCAAACTGGGTGACAGATTGCTCTGTGCACCAAAAAAAATTATCAATGTTTGTTCTGGAAATGCTTGTTTTCACCTTTTCTTCCTCGTTTGTTCCATCTCAGTGCTGCTGATCTCCTGCAGCCTCTCTATAGTCACCCACTGTTTTAGTGATGGCTGCATGGCACTTCTCAGGGCATGGCGACAACTGTGGACCATGTCTGTATAATGTAAGTTGAAATGACCACCCAGCATTACTTAAAGCTGACGTTTAACTGGTTCCCAACCGCCCAATAGCAGAAATACCGCTACAGAGTGGCACAGGTGTGCAAAATCACATATATACACATGATTTTGCATTTCTGGGTAGGGGGCACGAACGAGCTGCGCCGCCATTGGCGGCCGTCAAATACCAGGTCCCAGCCAGTGATTACCCGCCAGTGCCCGAAGATTACCGACAATCACCAACAGGGAGGAGGGCTTCTTTGTTTACCAACAGTCCTTCTTCCTGTCAGTTTGGGTACACTGCTTGGATGGCTGTGCACAGCCATCCAGAGCAGTGTACTTACAGTGAAGCACACCTGCCCCCTAGTAAAACAATCCCAGCACACAGTTAACCCTTTGATCACTCCTCATGTTAACCCCTTCCTGCCCAGTGCCATTAGTACAGTGTCAGTGCTTTTTTTTAGCACTGATCACTGTATTGGTGTCACTGGGGATGTCAGTGACACCAAGACAGTTCCCCCCCAGTGTCAGAATGCCCACCGCAGTCCTGCTGTAAGTCGCTGATCGCCGCCATTATTATTAGAAAAAAAAATTCCTGTATCTATACCGACATTTTTAAATGCTATAACTTTCACATAAACCAATTCATTTACACGTATTAGGATTTCATTTTAGCAAAGACATGTAGCAGAATACATTTTGGCCTAAATTTATGACGAAATTGAATTTTTAAAATTTTTTTTACTGGACATGTTTAACCACTTCTGCACCGCCCTATAGTAGAAATACTGCCAAAGGACGGCACGGGTGCGCAAAATCACATATATGTACATGCTTTGCGCTTCCGCAGTTTTCGCGCCCCTCCCAGATAGCGTCAGATTGCCTGTCAGTACACCAGTAATCACATTTAACCTCTTGATTGCCAGGAATACGCTCATACACAATAAACCTCCATTGCTAGTATAGTGTCTGAATGGATCAATATCTTTGATCAGATCAGCACTATACCAGCGTTCACATTAGTATAGTGTCCCCAAAAACACAGCGTTAGCGGGATCAGCCCCGGCACCTGCCAGCACCTGTGTTTAGCTCCTATGCTTACCCGCCCCTTCTCCCCCAGCAAGTGCAGTGTCAGTAGGTCACTGTCACTTGATACATTGCACACAAAACCGCAGTGTTTGCAGAATCAGGCCTGATTTCTGTTAGCACTTGCCAGTGAATTTTGATGACTCTCATATGCAGCAGAGGGCCAGTACTAGTGCCGTCTACCTTTTGGTGAACTGGCGAGCGCCAGCGGTCTAGTACATCCTGGTCTTTCACATACTAGCACTGCAGTATCACTTGGTGATTTGGCGAGTCCCATAAGTGCCTTACAAGCTGGTGCGGTGGCGAGCACAAGTATTGTCCCCCAACCAACAAGAATTTGCACACAGGCTCGTAGAACCCCTAGTATCCTTCCAGATGTGCTTGTAAATCTGGATTGGCAACCCACAAATTCTGCAGCACCCGTACTTCCCCCATTCACTGCCCAACCCGGAATTCAGGTGGAAATAGCAAATTTAAATACTCCCCTTGATTTTCAGGTTTTCACACAAGATCTGTGTACATTGATTGTGGATCAAGCAAATGTATATGCACAACAGTTTATCGCCGCCAACCCAAATTCAACCCTTTCTAGACCAGTCGCATGGAAACCAATTATGGTTTCCAAATTTAAAGTTTTCTTGGGCCTAACCCTCAACATGGGCATTACTAAAAAAAAATTAATGCTGTTGTATTGATCCACAGACCCGATTCATCATCTGCCTGTGTTCTCTGCTGCCATGGCAAGGCATAGATATGAGAGTATAATGCGTTTTATGCATTTCAATGACAACACACTCTGTCATCCTTGGGGTGACCTTGAGTTTGACCGGCTCCACAAAATTTGGCCCCTCATAAATCACCTTAAACAAAAATTTGCAGATGTATATACTCCCCAACAAAACATCTGCGTTGATGAGTCCCTCATTAATTTTTCTGTCCGCCTTGCATTCCATCAATTTCTCCCCAGCAAGCGTGCCAGATATGTGGTCAAGATGTAGAAGACCTGTGAGAGGGCAATAGGCTATACATATAAGTTTCGGATCTACGAGGGAAAAGATCCACGTGTCACGTGAAGCCCAGACTACATGGGGAGCAGTGGCAAGATAGTTTGGGACTTGGTGTCATCCTTTTTCCATATGGGGTACCACTTATACATGGACAATTTTTATTCAAGCATACCACTATTTAGACATTTGTACAATCTTGGACTTGGTGCATGTGGCACCATGCAACCTAATCACTGGGGTGTCCCTCAACAGCTTGTAAATACCTGTCTTAGAAAGGGGGAAGAAGCCTGCTTGAGAAATGAGGATGTCATTCAGCTGCAGCACCGACTTGTTTATTCTGACAGCAATGGGGTCTTGCTCTCAGAATATACACAAGTAGGTGTGTGCAGTGCTGTTGGATGAGATTTTTCATCCGCAGTTATAAAAAGAGCATATATGCCGAAGCATGGGGGCCTGGGGTGGCCAGTGGGTGGATGGCCTCTATGCTTCGGCATATATATTTTATAATATTTTTTTGCCATGTTTAATGTGTGCCCACCAGTAGAAATGGGTGGATGCAGGACGGTATATTCTAATGGTGGGCATACCACACTTTTTTGGCAGTGATTTCTTCTCCTTTTTTATTCAGCCCACAGGCTGCAAAAAAAAAAGAACATAGCATATACACCCAATAAGAACAAGTGACGTACTGGTACATCACTGGACTTTGAGTGGTTATACCAGGATGATGCCTCATCCTGGTATCATTTTTTTTCAGCTGGTGATCGGCTTTCATGTAAAAGCAATCCTTGTGGCTAATTAGCTGCAGGATTGCTTTTACAAGCAGCAGGAGAAGATGCCCCCTCCCCCGCTGCCTTCCACGGCTTTCTCAGGCAGTCCCGTGCCATCAGGGAAACCTGAGAATGCATCCGCTGTTTCTGCCAGCTGACCATAGAGCTGATTGGAGACCAGAATGGTGCCAATCATTTCTTGTTCAAGAAATCGGAAGCTACGAGCATTTAATCACTTCAGTTTTGCAGGATATAAACAGCGCCATTTGTAAATTGAGAAAGCATCTGATCACACCGATCTTGGTGAGATTAGATAATGTAAGGGCAGAGGAGATATATAGAGTCTGATAGACCCCAGATTTAAAAAAAAAAGAATATATGACAATGCCCATTGAAGTTATAGGGGATATTTGCATTCCCTGTGATAGCATTAAAAGTGATAAAAAAAAATAAAAATGAAATGGACAGTGTAAAAAGAATCAAAATAACTTAAAAAAAAAAGCCCCCATGCGAGCCTTGACCCTGTGCCAGTATGTAAACAGCGGTTGCGCCATGCATGGGAGGTATGGCCGCGAACGTCAGATCAAGGGCAGTATTTCTAGCACTAGATCTCATCTGTAAATCTTAA